AACAGTCCGCGGTGACAACCGCGCCTGCATGTCCTCGGGCGTTCACCGCAACAACGATGCTGCCACGCAGGCGAGGCCAATGGAGCCAGGAGTGGAACATCATCCTGAGAGACAGCGGCGAGCCCGCACGGGTCATGGCCGATATCACCTACCTCAGCAACGCTGCCACATCGAGGCACAAAAAGGATGGCCGCGAGCGTTCCGCTCGCTCTCCAGAGTGAAAGCGCTACCAGGAGTGCTCCCCCTGTCGTCGAGATGGCGTCGGCGTCGTCGGCGTCGCCATTCACGTTCTCGTTGTAGTCGTCGTCGTCGTTGTCCCGACGACGTCCTCGACGAATCGTCGTCGTCGTCGTCGTCGTGGTATTCGGCGACGGCGTCGTCGTCGTGGTCGTGGTCGTCGTCGTCGTCGAGCGGTCATCGTCGTCGTCGTCGTCGTGGTCGTGGTCGTCGTCGCCGCTTTCGACGTTTCAATGCCGCCGCCGTCGGAGTCCTCCAGCAACATCACTGCTACGCACCACCAACGCTCTTCCTTCGGCAACTTCCGTAGCGGACAACCTGGAATTCTAAGCGCCCCCGCCGAGGAAAAAACTGCCAATCTGCTTCGCACAGATCTTGCAGAGATACGAACGAAATGATTATCTGGTCGGACTGGGTGACCCTATCATCCATTCCAGTGAGACCTAGCGCCTAGGCATCGGCTTGACCACTTCACCCAATGCACCCACGCGGAGCACCAAACAAACCTGCCGAAGTGTCGCAGGAGAGATCCGCCATCTTCACAGCGAAATACACCAAACCCTTCACATCAGGCTCTTGCAGATAAGTACGATGCCGCCGAAGAGGAAAGACTGCTCGTAGTCCACTGCGCCTGATGCGAATAGCGTACTCTTTTCTCGGCGCCGCCGTTCCGACATGGAGCGCTCCGCTCCGATAAGCTGCTTCCAACTAACTGGGCTCACGTGAGGGTGAGCAATGCCAGGGTCTCAAAAACCTGCGCTACGCGCATTGCCCTGGATGCCCATGTTCGCAACTCCAGCGTACTTATCATCCCCGACATGCGATGCTTCACAGTTGCAACGTCGCCGACGAAGTCTACGCGCCAACGGGCGTCCTGCTCGGTGAACGGGTGCATGCTGCACACGTGGTAATACAACCTCGTGCCTACCTGAGCGACGAGCTTCCTCATGCAATTGAGGTCACCGCTGCCATCCTGCATCGGCTTCTTCGTAATGTGAGCGAATTTGATCGCGAGAGCCTGCTTCGTGAACACTATTGGTCTGATGGCGTTCAGGCTTATGTGCAGAACTAGCTCTGGCGGCAAGCACTCCGCCATGTATGCTGGGCGACGGCAGTGCGGTGACGATCGGCCCTTGCCACAAGAATGAGGCATGATCACCGACTCCTCGCCCTGCTCGCTCCAAGGAGCCCCTTATGCTGGCCGAAGTATCAGGGCGTACCGGCACCTCTCCATGCCGACAGCAAGGAAACCTGGAGAAGGAGGCGTTTGCTGATGGGCGGAGCTAGGCTCACAGCCGGACCGCAATGCTGTGAGCCAAAGTGGCAACAGCGACGACAGCGCTGGGGCACTCCTGGGCGCTCCTTGGCCTTCGGCGTCTTGGACCGAACCACCCACGTGAAAGCCTGCGTGACCGCACCACACGAACTCCGAGAGGAAAAGGAAGAGGAAGACGAAGAGCGGAACGACCGATTCCAATTCTACCAGAGGTTACGACTCATTGCAGGACGATCCCGAACGTCTCACACACACGGAAAGGCCCGAACGACTCCCACTAGCCCCAGTAGCCCGAACTGCTCACGCCACGAGAGGCCCGATCGACTCACACACATGGACGAACCCGAACGACTCTCACCGGGACGACGGGCCTGGACGACGGACACCGCGACGAGCCTGAACGACTCACACGCAAGGAAAGGCCCGAACGACTCACAGCAGGACGAAGAGCCCGAACGACTCACACAAGGAAGAGCCCAAATGTATCGCAGACCACAACACGCGGCAACCACTCACAAACAATGAGAAGGCCGAAAAACTCACACCAAGGCGCGGCGCCCGAACCTGCAACACCCCGAGAATCTCGAGCGACTCCCACACAAGGAAGGGCCCCAACGACTAACGCCAGGACGAACGGCCCCAGGGGCGCACAGAAAATTCGAGAAGCAGAACACACGAACGAACGGCCCGAACGACTCCTAGAACACGTCCCAGCAAAACAAGGAACCCGAACGAGGGAGCGTAGGCCGCCCTTGAATCCAAACGTACGAATCGTCGGGATACTCCTCGAGGGAAAACGAACGCGGCAGCAGCCAAGACGGCCGCCCCGAGCGAGCGGCAGGGTCGTCGACGTCGCCATCGTCGCCGTCGCCAAGGAATACTGACTCGAACACCAAACTTGGAGAAGATCGCAGACGATTCCACAAGACACCACACAAGCAACACAACATGACGTGTCTGAAACGTGGCACTCGATAATCGCCGACGGATTGTAGTGTCCACTATAAGCCATGCTACACGTAGACACCCTGTGAGAACCCTGGAAGATACCTAGAACTGCACCAAGCACAACCTTGCATAGTACTCTATCCCGACAATCGGGGAAACCTGCAACACGAGAGAGCTAGACCCCAGGCCCCTGGAGACCCTGAGGCACGAGACGCCTCGAGCCACTACATGGACAGTGACGGGATACGCCGACACTCATGTTGAGAGCCTCGAGCTCTTGCATACCTGCAAGACCTCCCAGCGCACTGTACTCCTGCACGACGTCGAAGAGCGTTCTACCTAATCTACTGTGTCCCGTTTTTCCATAAGACAGGGCGAACCACTTCAGCCCGCACGTTGCGTAACGCCCCACGCGTCACCTGCACACGAGCGCGGCAGACGACACTTGGAACTTCGACTCTCAGACCTCGACATGTGCCTACTCAACATCCAAAGGAAAAATGGCGCACCCTTCGTACTCTCTTGGGAAGAGGAGGAGGACAACGTTGAACTTCTGCGCATGTCTTTCTGTGCTTTCTCGATGTGTGTCGGAAAGTCTTTGATTTATGCGTGCTTCTGTCTTGAATACATGCGTGTATAGGTGTGGAGGGGAATCAATGGTCTGATGTCGCCATGACGATGGATCGTGCCGAGAAAATCTCGAGAGTGGCGCGTCTCTGAGACATCTCGCGATGACCGCCGCGCCTGCATGTCACCGAGCGCTAACCGCCACGACGACCTGCTGACACGAACGCGTGGCGAATGGAGAAGGATATGACTCACATCATATGCAAAAGTGAAGAGCCCGTAGCGGTGCTGGGCTACGTGCGGTACTTGCGCACACCACCCACCTCGTGCCAAAAGCACAGTAGGCGCGTGCGTTCGGGTCGCAAGCCAAGTCACCATTGACGTGGTGGTCGTGGTCGTCGTCGTCGTCGCCGTCGTCGTCCTTTCGTCATCGTCGTCATCGTCATCGCCATCACGTTCGAAGCCATGGGAAACAAAGTGCCGCGCGCCGACCGCACCGTCGAAGCTCAACATGAAGCGAGAGTGCCGGCAACCAACATTCTGCGCGCTCGCTCCCAGGAGCCCCCGTAGCAAACAAAAGTACAAAAAAACACAGGCGCTTCTCCATGCCAACCGCAAAGATGATGGCGGAGCGAAGCTCACAGCCACACTCCAATACTAGAAGCCAGAATGGCAACGACAACAACGCTGGTCGGGAAATATCGCTGGTTTCGACGACGACCGCCCTCTGTCTTGCCTCCCGACTCCTTCCCTCCCGCCTCCTCTTCCGACTCCTCCTGCTTCGGACCATAGAATACACGTACAGGAAAACAGACACACGCTTGCACCAAACAACTCTCGGCATGCTTCGCTGGAGGTCCTCGTCGGCGATAGCACTACCACTACTCCGTCTACATTTACTACAACGACTACTACGACTACTACGACGACTCCTACTATTACTACTCCCACTACTACTTCTACTGCTACTACGAGGTCTACTACAACTACTGCTGCTACTACTCATCCTACTACTGCTGCTCTGCCTCCTAATCCTACTACGACTACTGCGAGCACTACTCCTTCTACCACGACACCTACATCTACTGCCACTGAAACTTGTCGTGTCGCTGCTACTGCCACTACTACTACTACTACTACTACTACTACTACTACTACTACTACTACTACTACTACTACTACTACTACTACTACTACTACTACTACTACTACTACTACTACTACTACTACTACTACTACTACTACTACTACTACTACTACTACTACTACTACTACTACTACTACTACTACTACCACTACACGGAGGCGGGAAGAAGGAGGAACAGGGGAGCTATGCGGAGCCCAGCGGACACACGCCTGACACACACCACTGTCGGCATGCTTCACGAGAGGTGCTGCTGTGAGATGGGCTGGTGGGGGTACGCGAAGCGTAAAGAATTGGGACAGGCGCAACCACATATGGGCGGCTGAGCCGCGCACGCACCACGATGCCCCGAGACGTCCCTAACAAAAACCAACGCTTGTCGCTGCAATCAGACACCCAACCATCGAGCGCGCCGTTGCGTCTTGACGCGCGGATGCTGCACTGGCGCGCACGGGGCAAGCTGACCGGGCACAATAGCAAACGCCCAATCCCCCGGACGGCCCATCCCACCTTGGCTGGCCCCGGGTACGGGTATCTTTCGGACCAATGAATTGGACCGACATTCGCTTAGAAGGGAAGCAAGAGACCCTAAATGCAAACACTGTTAGGGTAACGTACGGAATTCATTGCGTTTCCCCCGTCCCTCGGCTCAAGATGGTTCGAGAAGGGGCTAGGTTGAGCCACAGAGACACCAAAACAGCCCTATGAGGGTCCACGATCCAGACACGGTCTGTCCTGGGCTGCGTTCTGACTAAGATTCGAGGCGAATCCAGCCTTGGCGACGAGGGACGGGTAGCGGTATCGGTAGATGTGGGTGAGCCAACGATCCTTGATCCCAAGCCTTCGCTTCACCGTCGAGAAATACATGTCTCCAGCGCAACCAGCCGTGAAGGCCAGCAGCGCGTCCTGGGCGCGCCAGCCGTGCACGGCCGCGCCGTAGGCGCAGGTCACCAGCGCACCGCCAGCGTAGCCCTCCAGCGTCTGCTTGGAAAGCGCGAGCACCCCCAGACCCCCCTCGCGCTGCAAAAAGAGACGGAGTCAAGGGTCAAGAACTGCCCGCGGGGGCAAGCTGGCTCCGAGGAGCGAACAAGAGAGAACCACTACAGCTGGGTTGAACGAATCGCCCCCGGCGCCACGGGCAACTCCCTCAGCCCAGCGGTTGTACGTCTCCTCCTCGCCCCTGAGACGAAAGGGGTCGAGGGCTGAGGGGTCCACGGTGAGAAAAAAACCAGGCGTCGGGGGGGGGGCCTGGCACCCACAGAGCAGACAATCCTCCAGGGGCCGAGCTGCTCGCCCGAAGCGCGGCCCGAGCCGCGCATGAACGAGGACGCGGACCCGCCCGAGATCTGCTTGGAGAGCGGCCTCGGGCAGGCGTCGGGCGAATCCGAGGCGGGACACTCGACCCCGAGAGGATCACCAGCTCTGCGCGGCGCTCGGTCTTTCGGGCCTTCTTGGGGGAGATGGTCGGGCACACGAACGTGCGGCCAAAGGACCGGCCGCAGAGCAGCTGCGCCGTGCGGGCAAACGCGGGCGGCGGATGGCTGATGGCGCTCGGGCAGGCTCAGGGGGAACGACGGGGGGGGGCAGCTCAGGGGGGAAGCATCGACTTGGAATCGGCGGCACATCACCGATAGATTGGCGACAGGGAACCGATGGACAATGCGCACGCCCCAGGGCGGGGCAGATTATCGGGCCCCTTATCGGCGATTCGTGGGCGAGTGGGGGTCGATGCATCATCCCACCCCCTGAGCCTGCCCGCCCCCGCATCGCCCTCTGACCCGACGGAGGGGGACCTCCCCCCCCCGAAGGGCGATTGGCCTGCCTGCGTCTCCGCTCTGGGCCCACCGCGCCTATGGGCCCCGGGGTCGAGCCCGCGGGCACGGCTTTCTCAGGAGCGGAGGCCGCCTGGGCTCACGGCCTGGGCTGGCCGAAAAACAATACCCAGAGGGCACCCAGGCTGGCTCGGGCCTCAGTCGCGCGTTCCGCACAAGCCCTACAAGTCGTTGGGGGCCTCCGCAGAGGCTCGGGAGGCCTCTGGAGACCCGATACACAAGACGCCCCAAACCCGTTCCTCCTCCTCCTCCTTCCTTCCTTCCTTCCTTCCTTTCCTCCTCCCCTTCTTCCTTCCCTCCTTCCTCCCCTCCTCCTCCCCTCCTCCTCCCCTCCTTCTCCCCCTCCCCTCCTCCTCCCCTCCCCCTCCCCCTCCCGGCGGCAGCGCCCACGGCGGGGACGCAGCGACGATGACCAGAAGCAGCCCACGGGGGGGGGGTCAAACCACCCCCCCCAGGAGGGGGGGAGAGGGGGTTTCAAACCCCCCCCACCTCCTCGGTGCCGGCGCTGGCGGCGGCCAGCAACGCCGGCGCTGGCGCCGGCGACGGTGGGGACACAGCGACGATTACCACCACCACTACCACCACCACCACCAACAGCACCACACAACCACCACCCCACCACCACCACAGCCACACCACAACCATCACCGCAACTCACCATCACCACCACCACCACAAAAAAAACACCACCACGACCACCACCACCACCACCACAAACTACCACACCCACCACCACCACCGCCATCACCACCGCCACTACCAGCAGCACAACCCACCGCCACCACCACAAACCACCACACAACCACCACCACGACCACCACCGCCACCACCACCACCACCACCACAACAAACGTCCACAAACCACCGCCACCACCACAACCCACCACCACCACCACCACAAACCACCACCACACCACCACAACCACCACCACCACAAACAACTCACCATCCACCACCACCACCACAAAAACCCACACCACTACCACACCACCACACCCACACCACACCACCACCACCACCGCCACAACACCACCACCACCACCCACCGCCAAACCACAAACCACCACACCACCACCACCACCACCACCACCACAACCACCACCACCTCCACAATCTACCGCCACAAACCACAACCCACCACCACCACCACCACAACCACCACCACACTACCACCAAACCACCATCACCACCACAACCCACCACCACCACCACCACAACCACCACCACACCACCACCAAACCACCACACCACCACCACCACCACCACCACCACCACCACCACCACCACCACCACCGCCAAAAACCACCACACCATAACCCACCACACACCACCACCACCACACACCACCACCCACCACCACCACCACCACAACCCACCACCACCACCACCACCACCACCGTCGTCCTCGTCGACGCTCCCCGCCACCGCCGCACGCCGCCGCAGGCGCCGGCGCCGGCCAAAAAATTGAAATCGTCGTCCCCGCCGCTGTCGCCAGCCGCCGCCGACCTAAGCGCAGCGCCGGCCCGAGAAGAGGGAAAGCAGGAGGGGGGGGTCGAACCCCCCCCCCTCCGTCACGAGTCACAAGAAGGGGGGGGGGGTTAGAAACCCACCCCCCCTTCGTCACAGGAGGGGGGGGGGTTCGAACCTCCCCACCCCCTCCATCAAAAGGGGGGGGGTCCGGTTCCAACCCCCCCCTCCAAGCGACCACAGAACGCGCTCTTTCATAGCTTGACAGAGCTCTTGCCACAACGCTCGACAACATGGGCGATTCTAGAAGGCAGGGGGCGGCGGTGATTCGCCGTAGGCGTCTTCGATAACGCCAAAATCTCAATGTTCGCTGATGATTTCTATCCGCCCCCGCGTGATGTCCCCAGATGCGCCAAGGCAGCGCCGAGACGCACCGACGCGAGTCTGATATATCCCATTCTGATACAGATGGGGGCTGGCGGCAGGGGGCGAAACCCTTACGGATTCACGTCCGCACAGCAAACGCACGTCCGAGAGACGGGTGTGTTGGCGCGGTTGCAAGTTTACCCCCCCTTAACCCCCCCACTGGCCTTGCCCCCTGCTGCCGCCCCCCCCCCGCCAAAGATGCCAGAGCTCCTGGGCACGGCCGCGGCGATCGCCAAGACGGTCCAAGACCGTCCCAAGAGGGTCCAAGAGAGCCTCCAGACGGTTCCAGATCGTTCCAAGACGCCCAAGATGGCCTCAAGACGGCCCAAGACGCTTCCAACACGCCCCAAGAGGCCCTCAAGAGCACCTCCAAGAGAGCGGAAGAGACAAACAATATTGATTTTCCCATGGTTTTTGAACGATTTCCGCGTTCTCGCCATTTCGGCTGACCGACGCACCAAGACGGCCCCAAAGGCCCTCAAGATCGCCCCAAGACTGCCCAACTAGCCCCCAAGAGGGCTTCAAGACAGGCCAAGAGGGCCCAAAAACGGCCCAAGAGGCCCCCACGACGGCCCAAGAGAGAGTGGGCTCAGAAGGGGAACACGAATGTACATTTCGAGCTTTCGGTCCCAAGAGGCCCCCGCCCCCAGGAGGCCGCTAAAAGGCTCCACGAGGGCCCCAAGAGGCCCCCAGAGGGCCCCCAAAAAACACCAAGAACTTCCCGGGAGGCCTCCAAGAGGTCTCCAGACTGCCCTGCAGAGGCCCTCAGCACGGTGGCGGGACGGCTCCCGACAGTTCGGACGTAGTGCCGCGAAGCGTTGTGGATATTGCAAAAAGATTCAAGGATGGAGGGAGGTGCATTTTCAACATGTGCCTCTCGCCCGAGCGCCGCGCACATTCGTCTTAAAGGTTTGCAAGAGCTTCACGGATGGAGGGCGGTCCGTTTTCAAAATATGACTCTCGCCTAAGCGCCGCGCACATTCGTCTCAAGAGTTTGCACACATTTCACACGTTGAAGGCAGGCCGTTTTCAAAATCTGGCTCTCGCCTGAGCGCCGCGCACATTCGTCTCAAAGGTTGCAAGAGCTTCACGGATGGAGGACGGTGCCTTTTCAAGAAGCGGCTCTCGCATGAGCGCCGTGCACATTCGTCTTGAGATTGTGTAACAGTTTCAAGGGTCCGCATGGTTCACGTCCCAGAAATGGTGTTTCGACCCGATGTCGGATTGTCCAGGCGCAACAGTTAAGTTTATCTGTGGTGTTGACGACCCCGAAATTGTGTTCTGGCACGATTCGGGATCGTCAAGACGTCCAGTGACGGTGATTCGCGGCGTTCATGTCCCAGGAATGGTTTTCTGGCACTGTTATGGATGTCAAACGGTTGTCTTCCAACGGAGCACTTCCGTGTGAAAATGAACACATGCAAGGGGCTATGAAATGGGAACTTGGCGGGAGGGGGTGTGTTGCAATATCGTTGATGAGTCTTGTGTTTACACTGGTCCTCCTCTTCCTCCTCCTCCTCCTCCTCCTCCTCCTCCTCCTCCTCACCCTTCGTCTTCCTCGGTCCCCCTCCTCCTGCTCCTCCTCCTCCTCCTGCTCCTCCTCCTCCTCCTCCAGCCACTGGTCCTCCTTCCACTGGTCCTCCTGCCTGCCTCCCGTCAGCGTCGAAGACTATCAGCCAGCCGCCGCTGGTGCCAGCCCGCCACGTGTCGCCCACCACCAGCTGGACGGGCGGGGCCGGGGAGGACGATGCGGTGAAGCGCTCCGTGCCTCTCCCCGTGCAGCCCAGACCCTGCTACGAGGAGCCGGGTTTACAGAGACTTGCCGTCGTCGTCGTCGTCGTCGCCCTCCAGGGTCGGCGGCGCCAGGCGCAAGGCCTTCACAACAGGTCGTTCGGCGTCCTAGGCTTCCAGAGCCCAATTTCGGACCTTGAGACTAGTAAAATACGTTACCGAAGCACAACACATACTTATCGTGTGTCTTGCGTGATGGTAGCTGACTTGGAACTTGCGAGCATGTTGCTCGTGGCCGTTGCTTCGCCGACATCGAAGGCGGCGCGGTTCAACCCTTGGGGGCCTGACATGCCGTGCCAACAGAGACGATTACAATGCCAAAGGGTCCACGCCGCGCTGAGGGACCACCCCCTGCGCATACCCCCTGTGGTGTCGAGAAAATGCCACGCCTGCTAGGCGCTGGACGACCGTGACGGATAGAGGCCGCGCTGAGGGACCACCCTCTGCGCACCCCCTGCGGTGTCGAGAAAGTGCCACGCCTGCTGCGCCCTGGACGGCCGTGACGGATGGCGGCCGCGCTGAAGGACCACCCCGTGCGCACCCCCTCTGGTGTCGAGAAAGTGCCACGCCTGCTGGGCCCTGCGACATTGGCGCGTATAGAGACCTGGGTGAGGCACCACCCCCTGCGCGCCCCCTCCGGTGTCGAGAAAGTGCCACGCCTGCTGGTCCCTGTGACATTGGCGCGTATAGAGACCGCGCTGAGGGACCACCCCCTGCGCACCCCCTCCCGTGTCGAGAAATTACCACGCCTGCTGGGCCCTGTGACATTGGCGCGTATAGAGACCGCGCTGAGGGACCATCCCTTGCGCACAACCTCTGGTGTCTGTCGAGAAAGTACCACGCCTGCTAGGCCCTGCGACATTGGCGCGTATAGAGACCGCGGTGAGGGACCACCCCTTGCGCACCCCCTCTGGTGTCGAGAAAGTGCCACGCCTGCTGGGCCCTGCGACATTGGCGCGTATAGAGACCGCGCTGCGGGACCACTCCTTGTGCACCCACTCCGGTGTCGAGAGGGTGCCACGCCTGCTGCACCCTGCGACATTGGCGCGTATAGAGACCGCGCTGAGGGACCACCCCCTGCGCACCCCCTCTGGTGTCGAGAAAGTGCCACGCCTGCTGGGCCCTGCGACATTGGCGCGTATAGAGACCGCGCTGAGGGACCACCCCCCCGCGCACCCCCTCCGGTGTCGAGAGGGTGCCACGCCTGCTGGGCCCTGCAACATTGGCGCGTATAGAGACCGCGCTGAGGGACCACCCCCTGCGCACCCCCTCCGGTGTCGAGAAAGTGCCACGCCTGCTAGGGAAGTGGAGGAGGGGAGGAAGGAGGAGGGAGGGGAGGTGTGCGGGAGACGCGGGTGCGACGCAGCAGGGATGAAAACCACAACCCCATGAAACAAGTGGGGAAGAACAACTCAGGATGAAAAGCTGGTCCCAGGGAGGGGGTCGAGATGCCCAGGGGGGGCGAGTCTCGAAAACCTCGAGTCGTCGGAGGTCGGGGGAACCTGACAGAAAGCACGAGACGAGACCGAGCTTCTGAGCAGCCACGGGTGAGCCCTGCTCATGAGGCAGGAGCTCGATGCGCCGTCCAGGGCCCAGCTTGGGCCTGGCCAGGGACGGTGGCATATCGCTGATGGCTTCGGATGTGCGGCAGCTTCGTGCAGTGACGACATCGGCGCGGGTGTCTGACAGCGCGTGGGCTGTTCGGCCTTGAACGATCGCTGCTTTCCGATGGCGCGGCTCGTGCGCCAAGGGCGGCGCTCAACCTTGAACGGCGGCATGAGCACGAGAGGCGCCTGCCGCACGCCAGTAGGGCGGCACAGGACGAGATGAGAGAAGCGCTCCTCTGCGACGCGGCCTCCCCGGCCCCAGATGAGGATGCACTCGACCATGACAGGATGCCCTATGACCCGCCGGACCGCCCTCCCCCGCTGCGAGGGCGCCGGGCCAGGAGCTCCTGCAGAGGTGCGACTTGGCGCCGCCTCCCCGTCAGGGAGAGGGGGAGAGAATGGCACGATCCACTAGAAAAACAGATGCGTCCACGAAAGGCCTGATTTTCCGTGCCCGCGCTCTCTCCGAGCACCAGAGAATGTGAGCACGAGGCTTATACGGATCTATACGACCACCCTTCGGGTGATAGGGAGGTTTGGGTGGGAAGGAGCCCACTGAGGACAACTGCGATGATTGTGGACCTCGCCCGAGGTGCGCACTCTTGCCAGGGCTCCGAGGCGAGAGCCCAGCCGTCGCACCGAGGGCAGGCCCGAGAAGGAGGGGAGCACAAGGGAAGAGCACGAGCATCGACGCGCCTTTCTCCTCTCGGCGGCGAGCCCGGGGGGGAAGTCAGGGGGGGCGTAAGACGAAGCCAGGACGAGGACAACATCGGGCGAGGCCAAATCCCACCAGCCCTCTGGGCGTAAGTGGTTTAGGGAGTTTCCTCTTCCATCTTCCCTTCTTCCCCTTCGGGGAGGGGTTTACCCCTCCCCCTAACCCCCTCCCCTGGACCTGGACGGGGGTTTCGCTGGTAGTTGGAGCGTCCAAAACGGCCTCGGCGAGGAAGCCAAAATCATCGGTTATACTACGGTTTTGGCCGATTTTAGAGGCTCCCGAGGGTGGAAGCTAATTGGGGGACCCCCTTCCATTGATCGATCACCTCCAAGATGGCCCCAAGAGCGCTCCCAAGGCTCCCAAGAGCGCCCCAAGAGGGCATCAAGAGGCGCCCAGGAGGCCCCAAGAGGTCCCCAAGAGGCCCTGAAGAGGCTCCCTGGACCCCCAAGAGGCCTCAAGAGGATCCCCGAGGCATCCAAGAATCCCCCAGGCGCTCCAAGAGGACTCCAAAACAACTTCCAGGGGACATCCTAGGAAGCTCTTGTGCACGACATTGTTCTTGTTCCTTCTCATTTTTCTCCTCCTCCTCCTCCTCCTTGTCGCCCTACTCCTCCTCCTTCTCCTCCACTTTATCAGCCTCCTCCTCCTCCTCCTCCTTTCCTCTTCTCTTCCTCCCCCTCCTCATCCTCCTCCTCCTCCTCCCCCTCCTCCTCATCATCCGCCTATTCCCCCTCCTCCCTCCTCCCTCCTCCCACTTTTCCCACCTGCTGCCCCTCCTCCCCCTCCTCCTCCTCCTCCTCCTCTTCCTCCTCATCCTCCTCCGACTCCTCCTCCATCCTCGCCCTCTTGGGTAAGACGGGTCCCCCAACCCTTTGCTACTCTGTATGCTCCCTCACTTCCCTGATCACCGCAATTCGCCTGGGCATCGTTTTTGGATGGGCTGGTGGGGATACTTTTTTGATCAGCGGCCCGCAAGGAAGAGTCCAGAGGGCGTGTCAATCGGGCTGACTGGGGCACAGAGCCAGATAATTTGCGAACTCGGCCGTCACTGTCGACAGCCGACCGCACGTGCGAGCATGCATATAATTTGCGAACACAGCCGTCACTGTGGACAGCCGACCGCACGGCCACGGAAGGAAAATCGGGCTGACTGGGGCACAGAGCCGGACAAAAGGGGGGAAAACGAGGAGACTCAAAGGTATTAGGCCGGAGCCGCACTGCGGTGAAACAAGCCCTTGTCGAGTAATGCCACCTCGGCGGCATTGACCCGTGGGGGCTTCTGCCTGTGGAGCGTGCCTTGTGAACGTCGCAAGTAGTCGGCCCGCCACCGCAGTCGTCGAGGGCGTCAGGAGGGAAGAGGGGGAGGCGCAGCCGATAGCCGCAGGCCATTTGAATACAAAGGGGAGGAGGAGCCAGGCAGAGACACCGCCTGTCGAGGACCCAACACTCAAAGTCGGTACGTCGTCGGCGTGTGGCGCCGCCTGGTGGGGGGAAAGCCCGCCAGGGCAAGGCCGTCGGACGTCGGGACTCCGTCACAGAAGCTGGGGGGACACCCTTCACAGCAGTGGGCCGGGCCCGCCGTGGGAAGGAGGAGCGGGCAACTGGTGAGAATCTCTGAGGTCCGGCGGCCGACCCCCTGTGGGTCTCTAGGCGAATGAGATTATCCCCCCCCCAATAATCCCCCCCCAGGGACCCCAAACCGGCAATTGGACCCCCTCCCCCGGCCCGGCACGACCCCGGACCAAACGCGTCACGGGGAAGCGTAGGGCTCCAAAACGGGCCAAGTCAGTGAAGCCATACGCCGGAACGCGTGGGCGAAAAGGGGACGATGCCGGCCTGTACTCTCCGCTTTGCGGGAGCAGCGGCACGTCTGGGGAGCGTTTTGGTGGACCGTCTGGGCACCAAAACGCCCCCCAGACGGTCCAAGAGGGCCACGAGTCGCCGAAATATCGCTCCTTGACGCCCACGATGGCCTCCAGACGGCCTCCGAAGCTGCCAAGACGCCCCAAAAGGCCCCCAAGATGCGCCCCAAGAGGGCCCCGAGAAACAAAAATCGTCTTATTCCCTGTGGGAACAATATGTCTCGCGTACTCACCTTGTCGGCTTTCACAACGTCCAAAACGCACCGCCCCCGGACGGCCGAAGGGGCCCCCAAGACGGGCCAAAGAGGGTCCAAAAACAGCCCACGAAGCCCCCAACACAGCCCAAGAGGGCCCCCAGACGGCTCCAAGAGGGAGTCCAGAGGGCACCTTTTCGAGCCTTCGGCCCCAAGACGCCCCCAGCCTGCCCCAAAAACACCCCACGAGGCCCTGAGGGATCCCCAACAGAACCTCGAAGGCCTCCAAGAAGCCCCCAGGAAGCCCCCACGAGGCCCCAAAACTTGGCCCAAGATGCCTCGAGGTGGCCGGATATGGACTGCAGACAGGCCAAGATGCCACCAAAAGGCGAAAGAGCACCAAGAGGTACGATAACAGCAAGGAAGCAACAAGAACGATGTCCCGCGCCGTGTCATGAGTCGGATAAGCTCGTGAGCTGCAGTCCTGGAGGCGCAGTAGTCTGTATAGGGGTCGGCGGGCGTGGCGCGTGGAGTTCGACATGGACCGCTGCACCGCGACGGCGATGCGTCGAATATGCGCTTCAGCGGTCTCTGCTCTGGCGCCGTTGCGGCACGGGCAGTCTGGGTCGTGCGTGACGTCGTCGATCAGAGGCAGCCGGTTGTTGGGCGCAGTGCGCGCGTTGTCTCTGAATGCTACCGCAAGTGCCCGGCAGGTTCCGCTCAGGAACTCGTCATTTCGAGGGCCTAGGACCCCCCCAGCGCGTTCCACTTTGCCACCCGAGGGCAGACGACGCGCGACCTGGGCCCGTCCGCTGGCGTCAGGAGCGATGACTTCGGGAAGCCGTGCTTGCACCTGTCCCCGTGCTTGCAGCCCTCCTTGATGCAGTGTGACAACGGCTTCCCATCAGGATGATGGCGATACTGTACCTTCGAAACTATCATCTGCACGTCTCCTTCGTAAGCCTTCTTGAAAGTGGACGCGTCGGCATCGCACTCAGCGAGGTCGCACCCCTCCTCCCACTTCGTCTTCTGCACGGCTTGGTCAAGATACTCAGGCCATCGACGCAGCCCCACGTGGTCTCGCGACCGGTAGTTTTGCCGCCATTCCTTCTCCAACGATGCGAGGCTCGCACGGTGCCCCTCGGGGTCCCAGTGCTCTTCCTGGTGGACCCACGCGTGCCGCGCTTTCACAGCGTCGGCCAAGTGAGGAGACTCCTGGATATTCCTTGCGATCTCGGCCAAGGACCCGCGTTGGTACAGGTTGGCGATGTGCACGAACCCGTAAAAGTGCAGCGCGCCCAGATGCTGATTCTCCACGGCGCCGAGCAGCGCTGCAGCAACTCCGAAGATTCCACCCATCGGGCGGCAGTTCGAGCCGAATCTGTCCGTGCAGCGACACCTGGGGCGGTTCTGCCATCGGCTGGCGACGCCACACTCGGCGCGCAGCCGAAGGCCTAGGAGGCAGCCCAAGATCACGTTCACCGCGACACGGAAGCCCTGCACGACCGACAGAGGATCATTGGCGATCTCGCACAGACGCAAATCGAAATCGGGGAGCTCCGCGTCGAGGCACTCTGAAAATGAGGGCCGCCCCCGCGACGCCAACCTCTTCCTCATGGCCGTTCGCGCGTCGTCCGAGCACCCCGCGCGTAGCAGCGGGTCGCTCTGCCGTACTCTGTGCAGGCGCATGACCAAGTAAGACTGGTTCTCATTGGGCGAGATGGTGATGAACAGCCCGCGCCCGTCACACATCGCGCCTGACTGGAAGACGTGGCCCATCCTGCGACGCAGTTCCTGGGTGCCGGCGAGGGTGCTTGACACCGAGCGCATGCTGTGAACGATCTGTTTCTGGGTACTGTCGAGGCCGTGCGCCATGTGAAGAGCCGTCAGGTTGCCAGTATTTGGCCGCCTGTTCGGACCGTAGTGTCCCTTCGCCAACAGGTCGTGCAACCCGCGGACAGCCGTGGTCAGGCGCTCCGTGAAAGCCGATCCGTCTGCGTCGTTGAACTTCCTCACTTTGCTCCCCAACCTCGCGGTGATGCCCAAGAAGCGGAAGTGGACGTTGCGCATGCCGGGGGCGACGAGCCAATCCGATCGAATCTGGTGCTCGACGCGGCGACGCATGCCTGCCAACCACACGCCCATGCCGATGGCAGGCCGGTTCTCTACTTCCTCGGGCCCCCCCACCGCGCGGCGTCGATGCGCGACATCGGCGCCCTTGCGCCAAGACCTCGTGAAGTCTGGCCCCCCGCTCTGCCACAGCAGCGCGTGTGGGAAAACGATCGCGGGGCACTTCCCGTTCCACTGCTCCAACATGGCCGCGTCGGCGACGTACGGGGCGACCAGCCCGCCGCCCATGGCTCGCTGTTGGCGCTGACCCGCGGTCCCTTGCCGGGGCGTCGCATCTGTGGGCGCGCAGGCGGTCGGTCTGGAATCGTCGAAAACAGAGGCGACGTCAGTGCTGGCCAGCGCCGGAGTCGCGTGCTTGTTTTCCTGCACACTGCTCCTGGACGGATCCGCCACCACTGTCGCCTGGTCCACAGCTGGCGGGGCCTTCCCGTCGGCGTCCTCGGGGG